GGTGACGGAGTGGGGGATGCCCCGGCCCTAGGAGAGGCAACATGGGTGAATGCCCTGGCCCTGGGAGGGGGAACGGGAGGGGGGCGGGGGGCGCGGGCAGGGATGCCCTGGCACTGAGAGGGGCAGCAGGTGGGTGGATACCCTGGCCCTGGGTGGATGAGTGGGGCAACAGGGGGAATGCCCTGGCTCTGAGAGGGGCAGCAGGGTGATTTTCTAGCCCTGGCAGACCCATGTGCAGCCAGACCTGCAGAGAGCTTTACCAGGAAACCACCCACGTCTGGCCTGGTCTTCCCAATGTTCCAGGTCTTGAGTATACCCAGAAAATATGCCCCCCCCCCCAGTAGGTCATTTCCAATCATTGATAATGACCTCTTGCCAAGGTATGGACAAAAGGGTGAGACATGGATGACTGCAGGCTAACCTCTTCCCTCCCCCCCCCCCACCGCCACCACCACCCCCTTTGTGAGAGCCACTTACCCAAGTTATTGGCAACAAGCTGGCCTGGCCTAGAAGTACTGCCCACCAAAACCCCCAACATTCTCCATCTCCCCTGGAATCCTTTCACATTTTAGTTCATGACACATTGGGATCTTCAGTCTGATGTATTATGTACCAATCTAGTTGCCCATGATAAGCATTAATTGCATCATAATCTCATAAAGGTGGGACAAGTGTGTATGTGTCCCCAACCCAGGTGACTCGGATGTAGTCTATCCAGAATTTGGAAACTGCTTCTGTGGTTGATGGTGCTCAGGGTCACACCACCTCCACCACCATCATCATCTTCACCACCACACGGACTATCAGTGACAGTCCAGAAACACTTAACTCGGGACGACCTTATTTAAGGGAATCATTTAGATATGTATTTGGGGGAGGGAGAAATACGGAGGCTCTTTTTCCTAATTTTTGAAGTTAGTGTACAATTGAGAGGGTCTCCCTAAGTAAAACACCAAGCACTTCTTGGACACTGAATTAGAAGCTAAGTTCCTGGCTTCAGGACCTTCCTTTGTCCGGTGAGTAAACCCACCTCATTTGGTTGAGCGTTCCTGGCAGCCCTGATTCTGCAGTTGTTTTCAGTAGCCAGTGTTGCCGAGCACTGGCTGTCCAAGGGACCTACTGAGCCACATCAGCTGTGACAGAAGCATGCCTGTGGGCAGAGGTTGGCAAGGGTGCCCACTGCCATTCCAGCTCTCCGTCGCCCACAGGGAGCTAGAACTCACTGCAAGATGCCTCAAGGGTGTGGAACAAGAGAAGAAGGAGCTGAGGAATCTCACAGAATCCTTACAGCGCACCCTGGAGGTGAGGAGGGTTGCTTGCCCAGGAGGGTGAGTTGACGGGTCGGGCTACGTAATTCTGGATTTCTTGGTATTTCCTAGGGAAGGTACTTACAGGAGAATAAGCATGAAGGGGAGCTTATCTGAAGGACCCTGTCTGTGCATGGTTGGGAGCTCTAGCTGGCACATGAAACCCAAAGCATGGACTGGTTCTTCCCAGACCCAGAACAAACATTCTGCCTTGCTCTTGTGATGACCGTGGCCTCAGGAAACCTGCTCTCTGTAGTGCTGTTCTTACACCAGAGGCAGGATTGATTAGCGTGAGAGGTGGAGTCACCCACCACATCCTCCTGTGGTTCCTTCACTTAGCTGCTCCTTGGTGAAATTGAGCATGAAGGGAAATCAACTTCCAGGTCACCTTCATCTGATGCATGAGACCGAGAGGGGGAGGGACAAGCAGCATGTGTCAAGGACAGAGAACAAACTTCTTAGCATAGCATGCGAGTACAAACCCCCCAGCCTTTCCTCCCCTGCTGCCCCTCCATCCCCTGCTCCAAGACACTCCATCCCCTGCTCCAACCACTGAGCCCATGCCCCTAAGGAAAACAAGCTTTTTGATCCCCTACACCTCTACCGTACTGTTGCTTCTACACAACATATCTTTTTCATCTCTTCTTTGGAGAACTATTTGTCTTCAGACTCAGCTAAAATGTCTCTTTAGTCAAGCTTCCTTGATTCTTCTAGGTCGGTATTTGCTCTGTTCCCATGCATTCTGCACATCTGTTGTGGGATAAACTCCGGGTTGTGTTTTTGAAACTGTGATCTTTACTTGGCCATGTCTTCACAGTTTCCCAAAGTCCAGCACCTGAAGTGAGCTTGGGACCATACACCTTAGTTGAATCCATCAAGTGCATGAAGGCTACAAGACTTTCAGTCTCCCTGGAGTGACTGGAGCCTTGGCTGGTCTAGCTTTCCCCGTCATGGGTGCGGTCACCATGGATATTTCCAACCCCAGAATTTCACTGTAGTGTTATGATCCTGACTGATAAATGCAGAGGATGTCTAGATGCACTCTTGGACTGGTCCTTTGGGGGTATTTTCACATGGGCCCAATATATCTCCTTTCTCCTTGAGGAACAAGGACCTCAAAAAATCATGTTGCCCTGAGGCCTTGGAACCTGGCCCTCATAGGTACCATCTCTATTAGAAGTCACATTGGGTTCCTCCTTGTCTGCCTGTCTGTTGATGGAGGAGTAACCTGGCCATGTTGTAAGGAAGAAGATCTTGGAATGAGGCATGTGAAATCTCCATCACGGAGGACTGAGGGAGGAGCAGATCACTCCCTGGAATTGCAAGGAGACCAGGGCAGCCATGCTGGAGAGCTAACCCCTGCTCCTTCCCACCCTTCCTTGCCTTTGTGCCAGGAACTCTCCATAGAGAAGAAGAAAACCCTAGAGATGCTGGAGGAAGATAAGAACCAGCCACAGCCATCGACCAATCAGAGTGAGCAGCCACTTGCCAGTGATGGACTCCATAGCAACCTCAGGCAGATCGAAGAGCGGATGCAGGAGCTTTTGGCAGAGAAGCTTCTGGCCGAGAAGCGGTGAGGCACCTGAGACCACTGGGTCCTCCAGCAGCTTGGGGGCTGCGACTGCCCTCCAGTTATACAACTGGACTTGAGTTCCAGCTATCATTGACGAGACGGGCCACTCACTTCCTTTTTGCCTATGACCCGGCTTTCCCAAAGCTGCCTTGACAAACCATTCAGAGCAGCATCAAGTCCTCAGAACAGTGCCTGTGGCCAGCCAGCAGGTTCCCTTAGCTTCTCTCCACCTGACCCATGAAGAAACTGAGCCTCACTGGGGTTGGCAGTCTTCCTGAGGTCAGAGAAGTAGCAATCCCTGAACCTCTAAGCCTAGGGCTCCCCTCACTCCATACCACCTCCCCTCATCGCCTGTCTGACTGGACCCCAAAAGGAGTCAGCCTTTCTCTAGCCGTGACTCTAGCAGGGGCACCTCCCTTTGTGGGCGAGCACTGGGTAAGCCTCCCTCCCGCCCACAGGATGAAGGAGAATGAAGAGCGCTCACGGGCCCTGGAGGAGGAACGGGAGTTCTATTCAAGCCAGTCTCAAGCTCTGCAGAACTCGCTTCAGGAGCTGACTGCGGAGAAGCTGCAGGCTGAGCGGGAACTCAAGGTTTGCAGCCAGCCCGCATGGGCCTTGTGCTCTGGGCCCTTCCCATCGGCTGGGGGCTCCTGCCCATCCCTGCACCCCACAGCTACCCTAAACTTCTCTCCCAGGGGGGCCAGCTGGCCAGATTCAGGGATGGGTCTATCACAAGAGGTGACAATCTCGATCCCTGGTAGACAAGTGTTAGGAACAGGGCCGTGCCCGGTCATCTGGGTCATGGGTAAGGCATGGAACCAAGATATGGAAACTTCCATCCAAGCCCATTGAGCCCAGGATGATCGGGAACGGTGGGCTAGCCGTTTTTCCCATTACTGTGATGAAGCTCCCGTCAAAAGCAGCTTAAGGAAGGAGGGTCCATGGTTTGGGGGATGTAGTCTGTCATGACGGGGAAGTCATGACGGGGGGGAGTATGGGGCAGCTTGTGACATTGTGTCTGGAGTCAGGAAGCAGAGAGGTGAATCTATACCTCTTCCCCTTTCCTTTTTGTTCAGTCTGGCACCCCAACCCATGGGACAGTACCACCCACACTCAGGGTGCATCCTCTACCCTCAGTTAAACCCTTCTGGAGATGCCCTCACAGACACACCAGAGGTGTGTCTCCTAGGTGATCCTAAGTCTGGTTCAATTAGCAAAGATCATACACCACCACGGAAGGCTTCTGGGGAGGAGGAGACGGCTTCCTGGACTCGCCTTCCCTCTTGCCTCTCCCTCCGTCTAGGCTGAAGTGAAGGTACGCATGGACCTGGAGAGACGACTTCGCGAGGCAGAGGCAGCCTTGCGGAGCCTGGAGCAAGGGCTCAATTCCAAGGTTCGGAACAAGGAGAAGGAAGAGAGGATGCGGGCTGATGTGAGCCACCTGAAAAGTAAGGCCTCCCTCCAGGGCCCAGCCCCAGCAGAGCCTGGAGCAGGGCCTGCATGGGTGAAGCGGTCCTCCCTGGAACCCCCTCTCCAGACACCATCCTGTAGGAGTCCCTTTGGCAGAGCCTCTTTTGCGGCAGCTGGACCCGGGGTGAGGGTAGGGGAGGAAAGCCTGAAGTCTTGTCCTCTTTTCAAAAGCTCAGAGCTCTGTTCCCGGCAGATCTTCTCTACGAGAGCCGCAGGTTGTGGTCTGAGGAGGAACGGGGTCCTCCAAAGGATAGACCACATGTCTCCCACCAGACCAAATGAGTACTTAGGAGGAGAAGGACAGGCCCAGAGAAAGAGGCAGTCAACCGTTCCTTCCCATCACCACAGGGTTTTTCGAGGAGTGCATCCGCAATGCAGAGCTTGAGGCCAAGATGCCGGTCATCATGAAGAACTCCGTGTACATCCATAAGGCTGCCACTCGTCGCATCAAGAGCTGTCGTTTCCACCGTCGCCGGTCCAGTACCTCCTGGAATGACAGTGAGCGCTCACTCGTGTGCCTCTTGTGGGGTCGGGTGGCACAGGCTGTCGGCGACAGGGCAGGAAGAGGGCTGGTTTGGGAACAAGTAGCCAAGGCTGGGTAGTATGTCCTCGAACCTGGCTCTACCAGACGTAGTCAGAAGGGGCCAAGTGCAGCTCAGCAGCATGCAGGGCTGGACCGAGGGAGAGGGGGTGGGCACAGCATGGGGGAGTGCCATGCATTGGTCTTTGTCCCCCCAGTGAAGCCCTCCCAGTCCTTCATGACCTCCCAGCTAGAAGCCAACAACATAGAAGAGCTAAAGGAGGTGGCCAAGCGGCTGAGCCGAGACCAGCGCTTCCGAGAATCCATCTACCACATCATGGCCACCCAGCCTGGGGCCACTGCACTCCCCCGGGGTGGAAAGTGATGGTAATCCTCTCCCACCTCCTCTCTCTCTCCTTGGTAGGGTAGGAGGGAGGCCTGACTCCTCGGCTCCTCTCCACCAGAGCACCCCTAGAGGAGGGGTACCCTTATTCTCGAAGGAGGTGATAAGTCCCTCTGTTTTACGTCGAGCCCTGACCTTGGAGATCAGAAGAGAGTGTTGGAGTCTCTGGAACTGGAGTTCTAGATGGTTGTGATCCACTATGTGGGTGCTGGGAATTGAACCTGGGTCCTCTGGAAGAGATCACAAGTGCTCTTAACCACTGAGCCATCTCTCCAGGCCTGAGCCCTGACCTTGGGTCTACACTAGGTAGGTGGCTCCACACTGGATGCTACCTGGTTGTCATGATGAGGCCCGACTGTGTGTGGTATCTGTTGGTAAGGAAGAGAAAATGTCTATTCCACAAGGGTAGGCAGGGCCTGCCCACTGGCTGAGGACTGGAAAAACCTTCCCTGGTGCCATCTGTGACTCCACTGCTCTGCCCCTGGTCGCAGGACCCCCCCCCCCAACTCTCTCTTTGCCCCTGTTCCTCCTATACAACCTTTGTCCAGGCTCCTCACTTAGTCCACGTCCTTGGAGAGGGAAGAGCGGGACCTAAGACACAACCCCACACCCTCCCTGCAGTATTCTATTTTCTGGGGGCTGCCCTGGCTGTAGGGCCACCCAGGAGAAGTGTGTGATCCCACTTGGGGAAAATCAGCCCTGATTGGGAGCGCTCAACCCAGGATGTTCCCCAGAGTACACACAGCCCGATCAGGAGTGGGGAAGCCAAGGCTCCTGTATCATCCACAGTCAGGCAGAGCTTTGGCTGCCTCAGGCTGCTGTGGCCCTACTGCTACAGACCACAGAGGTCTGTCTCCTTCCCAGCTGGCTCTGCTTGCTGCCTCCGCTCCCAGAAGTGGCTTCACTCAGTGAACCAATGCAGCCGTGAACCCACCACAGGGGAACATGGGCCCGTGGGGAGCCAGCAGCCATTGGCTGGTTCGTTGCTGTTGTCATGGCGACACTGTAACACCAGCCTGCAGATTTTGTGGAAGACCACTATGTTTTAGGACGCCAAGGACCGCGTTCCTCATCTGTGACAGTCTCTAGGGGCTCATCCCTCGGAAGCAGCCTGAGTCTATCATTCTCTCCGAACAAGACTGGGGGAGGGCTAGTGGAGAGGCGGTGCCGTTGTTAAGGACACTTGATGCTCTTACAGAGGACCCAGATTTGGTTCCCAGCACCCACATGGTGTCTCACATCTGTAACTCCATTGCCGGGAGATCCAACACCCTCTTCTGACCACCACAGGCACCAGACACTCACATGGTGCATGTGCATACAGACAGACAAAACATTCATACACATAAAATAAATAAATCTTTAAGAAGTGTTTAAAAGGGGCCGAGTGGTGATGGCGCACGCCTTTAATCCCAGCACTCAGGAGGCAGAGGCAGGTGGATCTCTGTGAGTTCGAGGCCAGCCTGGTCTACAGAGTGAGATCCAGGATAGGCACTAAAACTACATGGAGAAACCTGTCTCAAAAAACAAAACAAAACAAAACAACAAAAAAAACCAAAACAACAACAACAAACTGTTTAAAAGGGACTGGGCACTAAGACTTTGGTGGAACAAAGGCATCCTTTTTTTTTCCTTCAGAAGACTGAAGTGTTCTGAGGCAGGGACTAAAGAAGCAGCCCCTGGGAAGAACCCTTGCCAAGGCTTAGGCTACCCTGTTCTCAGTGGTGCCTTCTTGGTAGGGGTGGTCTCAGGCAGGGTACTTTGGAATCAATGCATTTGTGTGTACATATAAAGCTTTAAATGTGTATAAACATGCGTAAGCCCAGAGCTTGTCTATATAATATGTATATGGAATGGATTTTGAAATGAAGATTTATAAAATCAAGAGTACTGGTTTTGTTTGTTTTTAAAGAGTTAATGATGGCTTGCTCTTGGGGGAAATTTCAAATGCATCTGGTTTTCCTGGGCAAGGTATTAACAGGGGGAGAGGGGGGAAGTACTCCTGTAACAGAACACCTGCAAGTGTGTATTGACCCTGTTTTGTTTATTTATCCAGGGTCTTATGTAGCCCAGGCTGGCCTTAAACTCAATGTTACTGAGAATGACTGGTTTCCACCTCCCGAGGGCTGAGCTACATACCCAGCCAGACTAAGTAATTTATGAAGAATGGAAGCTGCTGGGCGGTAATCTCAGCATTCAGGAGGCTGAGGCAGGGACCCATCACAAATTTGAGATCAAAGTCAGTCTGGGCTACAGACTGAGACCCCGTCTTGAGACAAAGCCAAGAAAACCTGCTGCCGTGATACCCCACTCCTGTAGGGACCTCTTAAAGCTCTAGGGTTCCCACTTTTAACCCTGTTGTAATGGCAATTGAGTTTTAACATGAGTCTGGGAGGAGGCAGACTCAAATCTGCAGCGGGGTGGTCTGAACACAAGCACCGATACCCTAGTTCTTTCCCTCCTGTTCTCACTTACCTTCCATGCCTTAGATGAGTCTGGGTTATCTCCAACCATACCTAACACAGTATATGCACACGCAGCATTCCTATATGAAAATCTGGAGGGCTGAAATTACTTACTGGAAACATATTGGCATGATATATAATATTAATATTATGTATCAATTTCTAAAAGTAACTCTTATTCATTGGCCAATTAATTAAATGCTCTGCTTCCTGCCGTGTCTCTGAAGTAGGCAGTGGAGTCATTTCTAGGTAGGTGCTGCCCCCTGCAGGCCATCCCTGGAATTGTAGCATCACTTCCTTCATGTTCCAGCCTCGGCTTATCTCCTGTGACTGACTTGCTAATAACTAGCTGAAAAATATGTGTTTCTACCCGAGGTCCTGAATGTCCCCATGGTATAGGACAATCAGAAGGATTTTCCTCTGATTTGAGTATAGGCTGAAGGGGCAGCCTGAAAGAAAGAAACTGCCTGTTAGCTTCAATGTCCACACTAGGAATGGACAGTCAGCCTGCTCTGGTTGAGAGTTTATGCTTTGTTCCATAATCAGAGGAGAATCACAAATGAGCTACTGGATTCTCCTGTCATTTGATTGGTTCCCTAGCTAAGGATGGATGGTATGTGTCCTGCCAGGCTGCCCTGGTGTGTCCTGCTTCCCAGCATACCCAGTGGCTCCCCATTTCCCTATCACGAATGGTCCCCTGAGAATAGTCATGTTGTATCCAGTTGCATCTAATACTTTGCCACAGTTTTAATGACTTGTCTTGTTTCTGTGACCAGATACCTGATACAAAACAAGGGAGGGGTTATTCTGGCTTGCAGTTTGGGAGCACTGTCCCTTATTATGGTGGGGAAGCCATGGAGACAGAAGCTTGAGGCAGCTGGTTGTGAAAGTGCCATCTCAAAGGAGAGAGTCTTCCTCTTGAGGCAATCTATCCCAAGAGCAATCCCAGACTGGGATTCTGCACTTTTCTCCCTGTGCCCATTGTCTGTCCGTGAGGACTTTGCTCTGTCGTTATTGACCAACACAGAAAACATGGTATAGGAAAGGATTGAGGAGTAGCCTGACTTATTTTTTTTAACCAGAGTTTACAAGAGTTTACTTTATTGAACCCCAGTGACCCAGACTAGCGCTCAAAACTGCAAACAGATGTTATGAACCTATATCTACATGCTTTTTCCAACATTTATGGTGGACAATTAAATTATTGTTTTCAATGCTGTCATTTTCATCCGATGAGTTAACTAATGTCTCCCTCTCTCTGACACACCACACACACACACACACACACACACACACACACCACACACAC